TTTATTTATTTTTGGGACAGAGAGAGACAGAGCATGAACGGGGGAGGGGCAGAGAGAGAGGGAGACACAGAATCGGAAACAGGCTCCAGGCTCCGAGCCATCAGCCCAGAGCCTGACGCGGGGCTCGAACTCACGGACCGCGAGATCATGACCTGGCTGAAGTCGGATGCTTAACCGACTGCGCCACCCAGGCGCCCCTTCCCAGGTTTTAAAGAAACAGTAGTGCCCCATTTAAGAAAGTTTGTATTCCTCTTAACTCTAGAGAACAAACTGGTGGTTACCAGAGGGGCTGGGGTTGGGGGACGGGTGAAATAGGCAAAGGGGATTAAGAGTACACTTAACCATAATGGGTGCTGAATACTGTATAGAATTGTTGAATCACTATATTGTATACCTGAAACTAATATAACATTGTATGTTTTTATACTGGAATTAAAAAATTATCAAGGAAAAAAAGTTCCTGTTATAACTTTCCATTGAATTAGGTAACTTTTTGATGTGATCTGATCAGTTTTCATGCATCTGTTTCTATGATTAGAAAAAAAAAGAGGGGAAAGGTGGAAACATTATGTGAAGTAGAATTGTGTAAAGTCTGGGAATTATATAAAGGCAGAGGAATGTGCAGTCTTAGCCCCTCTCCTGGATCTGTGTGCTCCATGCTTCGCCTGTGGGAACTGTTCACTCAGTGGCACATGGAATGATGAATCTGGTCAGCAGTGGTATCTCTTCCATGATGAGTTGTGGGCTAGGCTCTTGCAGGGCCTACTTAATATCTGCCTGTGCCTCATGCCACCTCTCACCTTTTCATTCCCTTTCTAGAAAGGATTTGGCTACAAAGACAGCAAATTCCATCGTGTGATCAAGGACTTCATGATCCAGGGTGGAGACTTTACCCGAGGAGATGGCACTGGAGGTAACCTCAGGTCGTCTGGGCTATAGGATCTGTTAATGCAACTTCCCACAGGGGAGAGCTGGGCTGTGTTGGGTAGACAAGGCCTCATTTTCACCCAGGTCCAGAGACAGGACTGGCACCTGCATTGAGACCAGCTGCAGCCTTCTTTGTACAGGGAACCCAGTACGAGAGGAGAAATGAGGGGTCATGTGGATCTTACCCCGCTGACAGACCTGGCAATCAAGGCCTGCAGCGTTGATGACTTTTCTCTAAATACCCCCTGGGGGGAAGGGAAGCAAAGTGTACCATGTGGGTGATTCTGGGTCATGCATGCAAAGCCTGAGTGGGCAACCTTGGAAGCCCCAGCGGGGGTGGGAGCAGCTGCTCCCCTTGGCAGTCTCCCACCAGAGACCACTTGGCAAGAGCCAACTGAATCTCCCCTTTGCATTACTTGTACACATAGGACAGAGAGACAAATAGCCTGGACTTACCTAACCCATGGGAGGGCTCACCGTACTTGGGTGCCCAGCATACTCTTCCCTCAAGACTAAGGCTGCCCCTCACCCCATCAACAGATATCTGTCGGGACAGGTTTTATGGTAGGTGCTGGGTGCAAAAATCGGGGGGACAGCAACTTGCTTTCACTGCTAAAGAATGGGATGAGTTGGGGGTTCTGCGTAGTAGGTGCCCAGCCTATGGTAAATCAATCCGGCCATTTTCAAAGTGCCAACAAGCAGAGGAATCACTTCCTGGCCAAGCTGATCAGGAAGTGGCCTTGTGAATATGAGGGAAGATTTGAACTGGGGTCCTGGCTGGGGAGAATTTGGACAAAGAGGCAGGGCTAAGGTGAACCCAGCTATGTTATGCCACAGGAGCTTGGCTGAATAATGGGGTCGGGGGATGGAAGTAGAGCACATGCCACACTGGGGTCCCAGAGTGGTGGGCCAGGGCAGACCTGGCAACCTGGGCTTTGTCCTGCATGAAGTTCCACAGAGGACTTGAATGGAAGACCCAGTCGCAGAGGAGTTTTAGGGAGGGTGATGTGGCAGTTTATACACTTACGATGTTCACAAGGGTTCTCCAGCATACTCCGTTACCGCTCTGAGCATTAGCTGTACCTGCAGTGGGGGTAGCGGGAGTGCAGAGGAAGAATGCACAGCTAACGGGGGTGAGAACCATATGGACAATGTGCAAAGGAAAAGGTGTCAAAAGAGTAACTGAAGTCTGGAGGGGAAGACAGTATGTTGAACTTTAATTCGAGCTATTCATCTGAGTTTGGGAGTCCATGTGTGTTGGGAAAGTGATTGAAGTACAGATGTGGGGAAATCCTGCAGTTGATCGAGATTTACAAAGAGGACTCTGATCTTAGCCAGCACTCGAGCCAGGAGTCACTGCAGAGGGCAGGGTTCCTCCCTAGCCTGGGTGTGAGATGTCCCTGTCAGCAGCTAGTGACTCTCAGGTTCAGACTTCCCCACCTACTACAGTCAGAAATACCTCCTGAAGAGCAGCTGTCCAGAACCACTTCCCAAGTGGGGTCTATCCTCTGGAACCACAGGGTGAAAATAAGGTGTACTGAGGAAGGAAAAGGAGTCTTGTAGGCGAGTCTGAAATGGCGTAGGGGTCTGCCCAGCTCCCTTTGTCATTTACCCTCTGGCCTTGGACCCCTCATGGAAAGACACACCACACACATCAACAGGCAGCTTTTATTTTGTGTTCATTAATAAGAGGTTATTGATTTTCCAGAACCCAAATGGCAGCCCCTCCCGCCTCCTCTCAGTATCTTTTGTGCCATTAGGAACAAAAGCTGTCCTCTTCTTCTGGAGAGCTCTTACCCTCCCATGTCCCCTGCACAGCACCTCTCTCCACCAAAGTCCCTCAAAGTTCCTATGGCAGACCTCTCAGGACATAGCTAAGGGTAGCTGTTGATCTGTGCCTTATTTAAAAGCCACTAAAATCTATTCTGAAAGTAATCGATCAGGTGAGCTGTTCACTAAATCAGCCTGGCATCGTGCCCCACTTGGTCTGTCAGCATGATTTGGCTCCAAGACCAGAGGGTAGGAAGAGCACAGCTTTTATGTCCTTATAATCCATTTGAGCCTGGCCTGGCACAGAGGTCAGGTTGAGTCCCTGGCATCCTCACCCCAAAGATCTGCTTGGTTTGGGCCTACCCAGCTCCCTGACCTACTCTTTCTTCCCAGGTAAAAGCATCTATGGTGAACGCTTCCCTGATGAGAACTTCAAGCTAAAACACTACGGGCCTGGCTGGGTGAGCATGGCCAACGCCGGCAAAGATACCAACGGCTCCCAGTTCTTCATCACTACGGTTAAGACCGCCTGGCTAGATGGCAAGCACGTAGTGTTTGGCAAAGTTCTGGAAGGCATGGTGAGTTTCAGGGGCTAAACTTGGGCAGCTCTCATCAGGAAAGCACCGTATATTTTATCATTTTCCCAAAAGGGGACCCAGATTCACACCAGTGTTCATGTTTGCAAACTTGGGGGGAATTAAGAACTACCCTGCTACTCTATGCCCCCAAGTTCTCAATTCTTCCAGCTCCAGGCACAGGCTCGGGAGGAGGCCTGTTGAGGCTGTACCGGTGCAGGTGCCTCCATTTCACCTAGTGATGTGCAGGCACCATCCTGACTTGTACAGGACATGGCTTAACATGATGTTCCTGAGAAGCCACTTGGTGCCCACTCCCCAGCCACCTTTTTCTTCCTCCTTGGCCTTAGCTCAGCCTGGCTCGTACTTCAGGGATCAAAACTATTGCATTTTCTGGGTTCTCCCTGCCCTGTCACCTGGCTATGGTTCTATTAGGATTTTGGTGCCTGGAGCTTGGCATGCTATTCATGTGGGCATCTCATCCCTCCCTGGCCATATTGTGAGGCCTGTCTCCCTTGAGAGGGGGACCTCCTGACCTCTCTGCTTTACTGCTTCTGCCTTCCTTTCTAGGAGGTAGTGCGGAAGGTGGAGAGCACCAAGACAGACAGTCGGGACAAGCCCCTGAAGGATGTGACAATCGCAGACTGTGGCAAGATCGAGGTGGAGAAGCCCTTTGCCATCGCCAAGGAGTAGGCCCACAGGGACTTCTTCCCTTTGAGCCACCATCTGTGCGGCCCTGTTGCCCTCCAGGGAGGGGGTGGGGTGGGTGGGTAAAGATGGCCCGCCACACGGCTCCATGCTGCACTGGCCCTAGTGCTGGCATCTGACGGAGTGGACTCCTCACCTCACATTCCATAGGCCTCCAGGCCCGGTTTTGTAACAAACTCCTATCCATGCTGACCAATAAAAAAAAAGGTGGTTTGTTTTTTTTTAAAACCAGTGTGGGCTGAGTTCTTGGGCCTCCAACACCTGCTCAAGTCTCTGTCCCAGCAGGTCTGGGACTCTTGGGGCAGGGGGTGCCTGTCCCCATCTGAGACTGTCTGACCCCTTTCTCTAGACACTGCCTATAAAGTTTCAAGCAGGAGCTTTTACTCCTCGTTTCTAACCTTTGCCACTACTGTGCCTCAACCTTTGCTTGTCTCCTGCCCCTTTCTGGGGTAGGTGAAGAAATACACCAGTCTCTTTTCAAAGCCTACCTCTAAATTGGACTTCTCCCTTTATTCCTTATCCCCTATTGTCCCTGCCCTGGCATCTGGGGTGGTTAAATCCTGGGTCCGGGCCAAGGGGGACCCAGCCTCTGAGAAGGGGGCTCATACACTGAGGCATATGCCTGTCCTGGCAGGTGGCCCACAGACCTCTGGGCTGGTCAGGGCATCGGTGGCAAAGGAGCAGGGTGACAGGGAGCCTCGGACTGGGCTTTAGCTGAGCTGGTGCTGAAGCCATAGAGGCCCTGGAGCACGCCATTCACCACCATGTTGGACAGAGGCTCTGTGGGACGGAAGGAAAAAGGGAGGAAGGGGTAGGAGACCACAGAGAAATTGATGTAGAACAGGCCCAGCCTCAGGCCTGCAGCTCCTAGAGCCCCTGCGCCCATAGGCTCAGCCCCCTCCTCAGGAGCAGGAGTCCCCACCAAGGCCAGAAGTAACAACAGTTGGCCACCCCAAATGGGGCCTTGGGTTTCCTGGCTCACATCCTGTTCACAAGAGCTTGGTAAAGCCAAGCAGGTGAAGAATGGAGACCAGGAGGGCCAAGTTTATTTCACCATGTCTGCCTCCTGAATGAGAATAGAAAGCAGGCTATAGGAGCAGCAGGATAGGTGTCGTCCCAAAGGAGGGCATTAGGAGGGAGATATTGCCTGGGGGTCCTGAGCTGAAAAACGGCAAGTTCACCCCTGACTCCCACCCTGCTACCTAGGCCCTAAATATAGATTATAGGTCAGAGCCCATCCCCCCACCCCTCACCTGGGGATGGAATGCAAACGTAGGGATCCATGCAGAAGCTGATGACAGGCCGGTGGTGGAGCTGGGAGCTGGGGGGGCGGGGTAAGGGAGGAAAGTCATAACAGTGGAAGGAGAGGCAAGGCAGGGGCAGGGTCTCCTATCAGGTGGAGACTAGGGATTAAGATCACCAAGCACCCAAAAAGGGAAGGTGAGTGAGAAGTGGTCTCAGGAGGCACCAACAGAGATACCTGGACGGCTGGGAGAGGCCAGACACCAGCAGGCACAAGGCCACTAGGGGGCAGCCTGAGTCGGGCGGGGAATTGGGGGCGGGGGTGGGGTGGGGCTTCCACTTGCCTGCTGTTCTTGGGCAGGAACTCCCCCAAGGCGCTGAAAAGAGGAGACCCGCTGTGAGCGGCTGTCGGGCTAGGAGTTGGGGGGAGGCACGCGCGCGTGAGGAAGGGGTGGAGACACGCAAGCCCAGCACCACACCTCCCAGGGGACCACTACTTCTATTTGTAACAAGCTCAGTTCCGGAGGTAGCTGGGGTAAACCAAGACGGTCCAGAAAACAGTCCCTCTGCCCAGAGCAAGAAAGCTAATGAGGGAGGCCATTATCTCAAGGAACAATCAGGCCTTTGCCTCCAAAACCTTGCCTCACCTGCTTACTTCAGGGAGCCCCTGTCCCCTCAACACTAGGGCCCCTCTCTCTTGCCTGGCCATGGCCCCTAGAGGTGCTCACCCCCAGTTGCTGGCCTTAGGGTCTGTGGAGAAGTGCCGAAGGCTCAGGAATTCCAGTAATTCCTTGGGCACATCCTGGTTCAGGTACAGGACACCCTGGGGAGGAGAACAGAGGAAACCTATAATCAGACCCAGCTATTTAACATAGAGCCCAGTGCAAAATGGAAACGATGGGGGCCTTCCCAAATGACTAAGCCAGAGCAGAGCATTAAACCAAGTTTGGGCCCTTCTGAGCCCTGGGCCCTGAGTAACTACATGGGTCGTATGCCCAGGAAGCCAACCTGGCCTATAATCTGGCATCACCGTGTGGGGAAGAGGGGGGTCTCCACCCAAATCCTCATCACTGAGGGTAGCACACCACGCTCTCACCCTGGAGGGAAGAGAGCTAGCTTTCAGTGAACTGAAACCACCTGCCTCCGTGTTACCTCATTCCCTTCTATCAGTACTGAAAGGGCTGTTTGGACCCATTACTGTTCAGAAAATTGAGGCTTGGGGTAGTAAATAACATGCTTAAGATGGGGGTCTCCTTCATTCCATGCCCCCGCACCTCTCCCTCTGGGTCGCACCTCTGCTCCAGCAGGCTGGGGGCAGCAGAGTGAACCCCATGCACACCTGGATATAGGCCTCCAAGCCCTGCCGCCGCTGCTCCAGTCCTCTGGTCCTCCAGTTGGGCAGGCGTTTTGAGGGGAAGTCGGGCACTTTGTACAGTTTCTTGATCTGCCAGGAGGTTACCGCGGTGCCATCAAAGCATCCTGATTGAGCCCTCAAGCTCACTTCGGCCTAGCCAAGAGTCTCTCCCCAGGCCTCCCCGCCCCCACCTCCAAGACCCTAATGAGTGATGGTTGGGACAGGGTGGAGAGAGGCCCCAGCACCCTCCTCCCCCAAAAGCCCGAGGTCTGGCCGGCCACACATTGGCACCCATAGTACAGGCTGCACCCTGCCCCTTTGCGCCCACCCCGCAGCCCGCAGGGAGGTCTGTGCCCAGGACAGGAACTGGGGCGGTAACGGGGGTGGCAGAGACTGGGGCCGCAGTTCGTCTCCCAGGAGGTGGGCAGGAACCAGGCCGAGGTCGGTGAGTCGGCGGCTGAGCCTCACCCTCTTGTGCAGCGCGTGGAACTCGCTGTAGCGCCTCTGCACGATGTGCCTGCGCCCGCGGCACAATACTTCCACTCGGAACACCTGGCGGGCGCGGGCGAGCGGCCAGGTGCGCGTGAGGCCCCGCAGGAGGGCTCAGCAGGACCCGCGCCGCAACACGCCCACCCTCCCGCACCAAGCGGCCTAGGAACCCCGCCACTCTCCGGAGACCCTCCCACGCTCCTCACACGTTTAGGAAAGGGGGAGGACAGAGCCTCCCCTCAGTTCCCTGCAGTCCCTTGTGAACCTGGACCGCCGTCCACGGAGCTGGCACATCCCAGCGGCCCGAGACCCTCGGCAGGCCGTCTTCTGACGGCCTGACCTGCCGCGCTCAGACGCCCCAGCCCAGGCGCGGGGTCCCCACTACATTCGGCGCGGGGGAGTCCGGCGGGTCCCCGCGTACCTTCCCATCCACTGCCCCCCGCTCACCATGTGGCCTTTCTCTGGGCTTTGCCTGGGATCCTCGGCCTCAGGTCCCACAGACGGGATGTGAACTTCCAGCATCCGCGCCACGGCTCGAGCCCCTCCGAGCACAACGCTCGGAGCGCGAACTCTCCGGGTGTAGATCACCGACCCCAGCGGGCCCGGCCCCTCCTCCTCGGGCTCGCAGGCCCCGCCCCAAGCTGGCCCCGCCCCGGGCGTTCCCTCGCGCCGCAGAGTCCTGCGAGGGGCTGATTAGGCAGCGCGGGGGGAGGTGGGCCAGGATACCGCCCCTCGAGTCTAGTGGGCCGCAGGTGGGGACCCTTCAGCGGCGGAGAGCCAGCCGTTTGTCAACATTTTCTGAGTGCCCGCTAACAGCCGTAGACGAGCCAAAATTTCACCTACTTTTTATTGAGCGCCTAGTAAGGACTAGAGCCTGTGGACGCTCGGCAGGAAGGGACGCGGGGCCCAGACCTAGGCGCCGACCTTGGGGGCCAATCAAGGATGTTCTTTGAGATCCTCACACCCTTCCCCTAGACCAGGCTGCCGCCCATCTCCTTTCCTCCACCTTTCACCTGGACCCTGGGAGCGCGGCCACGCCTGGGGAGGGCTTGGGCCAATTTCTCTTTGATGTCCACCTCTCCCACCATCCACAAGCCCCTTCATTTCATTCATTCATCTTTCAGCCCCAACCTTCTTCAGATCCAGTTTGCCTGGATGAAGCAGTTTAGGGACCTGAGCTCTGCTTTGAGGGTCAGATAGCTTGGATTTCCTGAACTGTGTAGACCTGTTCTCATCTGCAAAATTGAATACTATGCCTAAGGAGGGTGTATGGAAATGGAGATGATCCCTGTTAAGCCCTCAGCATAGCAGGTGCTGAGAAACTGGCAGCTTGAGGGCTTGTCCTGGAGGCAGAGGTAGGTGGTGTGTGTACAGGACAATAAACGGGGAAGAGGGACTGTAGGAGATGGCACTAGGCTGCTACTGCCCACCCCTCTGGGCAGGGCCTTCCTGGGTATGTGGCAGGATTTAATCCAGAACTCTCTGACCCCTTGGGCTAGAAAGGGCCTCTGCTCCCCTACTAAGCCCCCCTACACTTCAGCCATAAGAGATCTGTCCCATTCAACAGAGTCCTCAACTCCCCTGACTTCCCCCAACAAAGGCCCGGGCAGACAGTGGAGGGAGGGAGGACTGGAGGCCTCAAGGTGGGAAGGAGGAAACAGAGCACCTGTCTTAGGGGTAGAGGCTGGCAGTTGGGGGATCACTGATTCCCTCCCTCCCCTGCTAGTGCAGAGGTGCTTCTGAGCTGGAGCAGAATCTCTCCCCACCCCCCACCCAGTTCTGCCCCTAGAGAGAAGGTGAGAGGGTGACCCCAAAGAAGGCAAGCAGGTCTCACCAATATTATGCCCCACGCTTTCTTCCCCCAAGTTCCATCTCACAAAAGCCCCAGAATCAGGAAGGTGAAACTTCCCGGAAGGGAAACCACCCACTGTGAACAGAAGTGCTGAGATTTCATTTCCTTGGACTTTGGAGCCCCCACACTCAAAGACCCTGTTCTCCTTGTCTACTGACCAGGGGGTCCTCTCCCAGGACCTCAGACCTCTAAGCTTCTCGGTCACCTGTCCTAATGACTGCCCTACCATCTAGAAAACTGCTACATCTCTTAATCGATCTCCCTGTTTTTCCTTGGCTCCCTCTCTCACACAAGGTCCATTGTCTACCTAGCAGCACAAACCACCATCAAAGCAACTGCTTCAAACCTTATGAAGGCTTCTTTCGTGTTGTACTTTGAAGAAAACATCCCCTCCCTACCACAATCTACAGAGCTCTAAGTGACCTAGCCCAGCCTCCACCTCTCATCTCATTTCCTCTCCTTCCCCTTGGTGTACCAGGCCCCAGCCAGTGACCTTCCAGTTCTTCAAACCCAACTCGCTCTTTCCTGCCTTAGGGCCTTTGTGCCTGCTGTGACTCCTCACCTGGTGGGTTTAGCCTAGAACTTCCAGCTCTTGGCCTAAAACTCACCTCTTCAAAGAGACCTTCCTTCCTGTCCACTTACCCTATCATATCACCCTGTGTCTGCACTTAGTTACGTAGTTACTGTTTGTTTATTGTGGGTCTCCCTGGTTTTCCCAACTTTGCCCCAGGCTCTGAGGGCCATCAGGCCAATGTCTTGTCAGTGGTTGCTGCCCTGGCACCAAGAATGTAAGAGACGCTCAAACATTTGTTGGTTGAAAGCCTTTCTGACTGAATCGGGGGAGGAGATGTTGGGAAGAGGCTGGGGAGAGGAGGGAAGGCCTGGGAGAGAGGCAGGAAGGGAGGAGTTAGAGGAATAACAACAGGAATCCTCTGCCCACCTTCAGATCCAGACACCTCTCTCTCATCGTCGCTCCGTCGCAGACTGTTGAACACACCTCGTTTATATGCTTAGTTTTCAGGTGTTCCTGAGACGCCTCAAATTAATGGATTCCCAGCACCAGTTATACAGGGAGATTTGATGCACCTGACTTATAAAACATCTGGTAGGAAACCTGCAGCTCCTGATTCTTCAGTGTTCCGTGGCCATGAGTGAAGATCCAAATGAAGAAGAACAAGATCCTTGGCTTGCAGACATTTTGGGATGTCTTTGGGGAGATAAAACAAGCTATGGAGAATATTTTCCTGTAAAGGGGAATACGTGACATAATGTAAACTCCAAAGCACTTGTTATAATCGAAGGAAAACTTATTTTCTGTATGCTGTAAGCACTGGCCCACTCAGTCTATGAACACTGAGCTGAGTCCCACCCACTATGTAGACCCTCAAAGTGACTTGTTTTTAGAATGAGTTTTAGTGTGCAAGCCTCTGTCTTTTCTCCATCACTCTCTAACACATGACTTTAATTTCCAAGTTTCTAAGGGAAGGGGGCTTAAAAGTACTGGTCGGTCACACACCAACTTGGCCAAAGTATTTCCAGATCAGATTATAGAGCGGTGGTTCTCCAACCTCCGCAGGCATCATCATCACCTACAAGTCCTGTTAAATCTCAAATAGGGCTCTGAGCCCAGTTTCCTGAGTGCTTGGGCCTGGCGTGGAGCCTCATCGTGTGCGGGTTTTCACAACTTCCCCTGTACCAGAGCTGCTCCGGGTTGGGGACCACGTTGTAGACACCAGTCTCTTGACTCCCACGCCAGCTCTTGGAGATGAGGATGGTGGCCAAGCAGAGGGCAGCAAGGGCTGGGGGCAAAGGTGTTCCCCTCTTGGGCTCGATCTGGTGAGCCTCTCTGGGTGGGGGCGGGGCAGGTGGGACGGACCACAGCTCCCGCGGTGGCTGGGCCCTGGCCCTGGGGGGGGGGGGGGGGGGGGCCCTCCGCACAGGCACGCAAAGCCGCGTTCACTAGGCAGGCTGGACGCTGCTCAGGAGGTGGTTAACCCGTTTAAGAAACAAACAGCTCCTGGGCTTGTGGGCGCCGCCGAGGCACAGAAGCTGGATTCTTCCTGCCGGACTCGACCTGGCCTGGCCGGCAGCGGTGGGAGGAGGCAGACTAGACCGAGGGGGGGCCCAACAACCTAGCACTGCCAGAGCAAGGTCGCCAGGATGGCGTCACCCAGAGGCTAAGGTCACCCGGGCAAGCTCAGACAGCTCCCCTCGCTCAGGGTCCTTATCAGCAGAGCATAGCGCTGTGTGTGGATTGAAAGATCATGCTTCCAAAGTGCATGGGCCTGGCACACAGTAAATAAATGTCAGCTATTATTATTTACTGAATTAAAATAATTTGCCCTAAGTCAAAACGGCGGGTTGTTGGCAATTATATATGGTCCAACCTAATATATTGCTGCTGATTCAATTTTAAAATAACACAACTTTACTACTCCTCTTTCAGTATCCTGAGATTGCAGGCTTAGCTTAAAAAATGAACTATTTTAACTACTAACTCTGTGATCATAATTTTCCTGATCTTGTCCATATTGTGCAACCCAAAAAAAGGTAGAATCAACTGGAAGCAGAGTTTGGTGTAAATTAGCAACTATCCTGTTCATCCTAACAGCCTCTGACTTCTTACTGATTGCCTTTTTAATGAGTACATCTTACCAATTTTGAATAATAAAATAAGACGAAATACCGGGGCACCTAGGTGGCTCAGTCGGTTAAGCATTCCCCTCTTGATTTCAGTGCAGGTCATGATCTCATGGTTCATGAGTTTGAGCCCCACGTGGTCGGGTTCTGCACTGACACTGCTTGGAATTCTCTCTCTCTCTGTGCCTCTCCCTAACTCATGCTCACTCTCTCTCAAAATTAAATAAATAAATAATAAATAAATAAATAAATAAATAAATGTTAAAAAAACACAACACAGTACCTTTATGTTGAATACTGAACTTTGGTGTAGATGTCTGAGAAAATAGTTCTTCTCAAACATCTTAAATTATTGAGAAGTCTAAACTCTTCATTTTATAGATGAGGAAACTGAGGTGTGAGGAAGGAGAAGTGAGCCTCCAGGGGAAGGTTGTGTTAGGAAGGCACCTTTGACAAACAGGTCCCGCCAGAGCCCCAAAAGCAAAGTTTGGCTCAGGGTAGGCTGGTAACCAGCTTCTCAGGGGACATACAGGCTCTAGCCCTGGGGCTCCAGCCAGCAGTGTTCCCCCTTCCAGATGACAAGGACAGCTCAGTTGCTTCAGACATGACCCAGGGATGGAGCAAAGGGAGCTGGCAGAGGCCACCCCAGCCACCTGCCATCCAAGGCTGCACAGCTTCCCAAGGAGATTTTTTTCTGGCGCTACAGCGACTCCCAACACCCCTAGAATGACTATGTCAGGGAACCAACCACTCGGCCCCCCTCATGTGCCCAGCACTGAGGTTCAAGGAACAAAGATGTGCTCAGGAACCCTCAGGTCACGGGGGTTTACTGTGAAGAGTTGTGAGACCAAGAACTGAGGCCAAGTGGAAAGCCAGGCCAGAGGCCGGGAGGGGCCGCAACCCCAGGCCCTGAGGTCTGGAACTGAGATGCTCCCACCTCCCATTCTAGCTCTGGGTTCTGTCTCAGGTCTCTCAGCAAGTGGAGGTTTTAGTCTCTGCCGCAAAAGGTCCCCAGGTACTCACCCAAGCT